AATAGTCATTCAATCAAGTCAAATGTATATAGAAGAAGCACACAGGCAACTAAATGACACTACTGTGTATGACAAACTCCCATCAGATCCAATTAAACACATACAAACTATCCTCACCCAATTTCTCAACAAAGGTGTAACCCTAGGTATTTTAAACAAACATGAATTCAATTTTTTAAACATAAAATTTCCTGTGACCCCTGTTATATACTTTCTTCCTAAGATCCACAAAAATGACACCTCCCCACCGGGGAGACCAATAGTGTCTGGTATAGGTTCTCTTCTCTGTAATTTATCACAATATATAGATATTCTCTTACAGCCCTCAGTCAAATGCATGAGATCCTATCTTCAAGATTCCATGGCTCTTTTAAAGTTTTTAGATGATTTTACATGGAAATCTAATTTTATACTAGTCACATGTGACGTTCAATCACTATATACTATTATTCCCCATGACATAGGCTGTCAAGCTGTAAGAGATACCCTAACCAGAGAAGGTAGAATCTCTGATGTACAAATTGATTTCATCTTAGAAGGCATTAATATTATTTTAAAGAATAATTATTTCTGGTTTTTAAATTCTTTTTATCTACAAAAAAGAGGAACAGCCATGGGTACTAGGTTTGCTCCCAGCTATGCAAATCTTTTTATGTCCGACTGGGAATCTGAAGCTGTTTTTAGTGAGCATGCCTGGAGAGCAAACCTAGTTTCATTTTTTAGATATATTGATGACCTCTTTTTTATCTGGGAGGGTTCAGAGGATGATCTCAATTCTTTTATTACTAATCTCAACACAAATAACAGGGGTATAATCCTCACCTACGAATACAGCAGGGAACAAATTAATTTTTTAGATCTTGATATTTTTATAAAAAATGGTAAATTACACACCAAAACGTTTTTTAAAAAAGTGTGTGTGAATACCGCCATAGATAAGAGCAGCTGTCACTACCAGCCCTGGTTAGACAGCGCTCCGAAAAGTCAAATATTACGACTACGGAGAAACTGCTCAGAATTAAGTGACTTTAATATACAAGCTAAGATATTAAAAGATAAATTTGTTGAGAAGAATTATTCAGAAATTGAACTTGATAATACCATTAGGGATATTCATGATAGTGACAGAAATGAACTTTTACAATACAAACCTAAAAATAAAGACGAATCTATGTCCTTACCTATTATTTTTAACTTTAACAACAAAAGTAATGAAGTCAAAAAAATCATAAAAAAACATTGGCATATCTTACAACAAGATGAAACCCTTAACAAAATCATACCAAAGCGTCCAAGTATAATATTTAGAGGAGCAAAAAATTTCAAATCAATACTAACTAATAATTTCACCAAAGAAAAAACTACCACACTTCCCCCTACCTTGTTCCCCCATATAAAAGGTTACTATAAATGTAAAACGTGCATAGTTTGCAGAACTACTGACCCAGCCGTCCCTCACAAAGTTGTTGAATTTATGTCAAGACGGACTAATAAGGTTTATAAAATCTGTGATTTTATTAATTGTTCTACCAAAAATGTTATATATCTGCTTGAATGCCCTTGTGGCCTCCAATATGTTGGAATGACCACAAGGTGCTTAAAAACGCGTCTAAGCGAACATTGCAGAAATATTAAAAATGGATATCTGAATCATTCAGTATCCAAACATTTTATTATGCACAACAAAGATCCTAAGTTATTGAAATGCATTGGAATAAAAAAATGCATGACCCCTTGGAGAGGTGGTAATATCAAAAATATTTTGGGTAAAAATGAAATGGAATGGGTGTACAGACTTCAAACTCTTACACCACATGGTCTCAATACAGATTTTGATTTGTTTAATTTTTTATAATTTTTATTATTATAAATTTCTTACATTATATTTGGTTGTACTAAGTATGCCTTTAAATTTGTATTAACATTTTTTATTAATATTTTTTATTCCCACTTCTCATCTTCTTTTATCCTTTATACTGTGTGCAATGTATTATACCTTTTATTATCCTATGACTCAATATTGTTCATATATCACTAATATTTCTTCTTTTTACTTGTTATTTTTATTTTTCTACTATTCCCTGTTCAGCTGCAGCTCTGTGCCAGCCGACGAGGTTTCTCTTTTTCTGTTTATGGTTGCTATGACGACGGCTGCAGCATTGTGCGAGCCGCCGTCTATACTTCCGGTTTCCTTTGAGTGACGGCGGCAGCAGTTCTCGTGCGTGCCGCCGTCCACTATAACCCCGCCCCCATCTATTCAGTCAGCCGCAAGAGCTGCGTGCTGACGCCGCCTCTCCCCCCTTCCCTCACGAAAACGCCGGCGGCTGCGCAGTGCACGCCGGCGTTTTACTACATGTCCCAGCATGCACTACGCTCTTTTCCCCGATCACGTGATCGGTAAATAAGTCCTTTATTTATTTATATAACCCTCGTTCTTTATGCATATTTATGCCATATAACCCTTTATGTCATACACAATATTTGTATGTTATATGTCACCAGTTATGTGTCTGTTTTAATTATTTTATTCTTATCTTAACTGTGATTGGCTGCTTATTTTTTGGCGCCAATTTTAACTGTTTTTAGTTGTTATATAAACTATTTGATGCCAGTGATCAGGTTCCTACTCCATATTGATAACGCCGTGTTGGCGAAACGCGTTTATGGACATTACTCTGTGTATTTTTATATATTAAAAGTTTATTTGGTTACTCTTTATTCGTGCCATATATCTTTATATACACATTCATTTATTTTGTGACCTGGCATCTTCTCTACATCCCGGACTCCAAGCAATCCTAGGTGGGGATTATACCACCAGCGCCTATGTTTAAGAGCAGTTGTTCTGCTCCTGTCTTGTGAGTACCCATTTTTTATGTTATTTTATTTTAACTCAGTGTACACTATTGGTTGTCTCTTTCTATTTGAGTACTGGATACATCGCTAACGGAGGAGACTCACCGTATATCCTACAAGCGGGGATCATACCGCTGAACGCCTTCTATACCGGAGCGAGTTTTACGCTCTGGTAAATGTGAGTTTTTATTTCTATATTTCTATTTTTTTATTATTCTTTTTGTTCTAGCATATTGCACTATTTGGGTCTCTATTTTTATTTTACATATACCTATGGACTCCTATTGAGGATTATTCCAAGTATCATCGCAGTGGATCAAGCTCACATAGACTCTACGATTACGACAAGACTTTTCTAGATAAGACTTTCTTATATATTTACATTTTCATATTTATATTTTTATATTTTTTCTTACATTCTTGGACTATTTGTTATTTCCAGTTTCCTTTGGCGCAGCCCTTACCTTCTTTTTACTTTTTTCAGTTCTCATTCTAAGGGTTTTTGAGGGATTCCCTTACAGGGTTGCTGCCTATATATTGGTTAGCGCTTACTCATTGTTCTGTTTTTTTTCCCTAACCAGAGGTTGCCTGGTGACAAGGAGGCTGTGGCTGTGGTGGTGTGAACACTGTTAGGTGTTTGTGAACCTGCTAAATCAACAAACAATTCATCCAGATAGTGGATGACC